AGCAGGCAAATGAACGGGGCGTGTCACCTGTCAATCTAAATTGAATGGAAGCTTATGGCTACTGTGCTTTTAAAATTAAGCCAATTCACAGAAAAACCCAAAATATATCATATCTGCGTTGCTGGCTCCCAGGGGTTTCACCAAAAATTTAAAACAATGTTTTTTTTTGTTTTTTAAGGTTTTTAATAATAGTTTTTAATCCTTACTATAAAGATTAGGAGGGCCTATCTGTTAGAGCCCCATGTATACCAACCGTCCCTGCATATACTTTAATATGGAGTTTGGTCCCCCTTTTGCAGCTTTAACAGCTTCCACTCTTCTTGGAAGGTTTCCACAAGATTTTGGAGTGTTTTTCTTGTTCGGAATTTGTGCCCATTCATTCGTGGTATTTAGCATTATGAGGTCAGGGCACTGGCTCGCAATTCTCCGTTCAGTTCATTCCCAAAGGTGCTCGATGTGGGTCTTCCTCAACTGTGCCACAAAGTTGGAAGCATAGCCATGGGGTCCAAAATGTCTTGAAGCATTCAACATAGGCCCTTCACTGGGAAGATAAGGGCCTAGCCCAATACCCGGAAAAAACAGCCCGCATACCATTATCCCTCCTCCACCAACTTCACAGGTTGGCACAATGCCAGTCAGGGCAGGTAAACGTTCTTTCCGGCATCAGCCAAACCAAACTCAACCATCTGAACTGCCAAACAGGGAGAAGCGTTCGTGGTGAATGTGGTGCATGTGGTGAAAGGGCGGAAATGTGGCACGTAGGTGTAAAAGCGCTTGGAAGTGGTCGGAAAACTAGAAAAGGCGGTCCATTTACACATTTTTGACGCTGATATTGGACTTGGTGATGTAAGCGCTTGCATGCAGCCTCGCTCAGCCATGAAGCTCCCGCGCCGGCACAGTTTTTTGTGGTTTACGTGGAAGTTCGGAACTTCTTCAGCTATGGAATCAGCAGTTGCTGTTGTTCTTAAAACGTTTTCCACTTTCTATTAATATCACTTACAGTTGACCGTGCATAGATGAAGTTCACAAAACCGTCTTATTGCAAAGGGTGGCATTCTATCACAGTACCAAGCTTGAAGTCATTGAGCTCTTCAGAGACGACCCATTTTGCATTGCAAATGTTTGCAGAATGGAGACGCATGGCTAGGTGCTTGACTTTATACCACCTGTTGCAAGGGAGTTGTTTCAATTAAGGACAATCGGAAACACCTGAATTCAATAATTAACAGGTGTGGCCAAATACTTTTGTCCATATAATGTATTTGTAGCATTGGAAATCTGTAATCTGGGTGTAACAGAGTATTTGCTGAATCCTATGTATGCGTGTCCTTCTTCACAGCATACCTCACCAACGACTCCCAACAAGCCCCTGGCTCCACTGGACTGGGCCTCCCATGTCACCACTAAACCAGATCCTTCTGTGGTCAATAAACACATCAGGAAGGTGGTGGATGTGAGTAGACAACATCCAAAATTCTCAAATGATGCCTATAGAATAGACAGAGGTAGACACATGTGGGTAAAATAATATTGTAGTAATTTGTTTCTTGTCATTGGAAAAGTCTGTATTCAGGAATTATGACCATGACCATGATGACTATATTTCTCAAGAGGATTTTGAGAGCATCGCTGCTAACTTTCCCTTCCTGGACTCCTTCTGCGTTTTGGACAAAGATCAGTGAGTGGGGAACACTGAAAGTTTCAAACAGATGTTCAAAGAATTAGCATTATGACCTGGCTTGCTAAAACAATGTTCTCAAACTGTGGTTTATTCACTACCAGTGACAGTCCCAGGTAGTCTGACCAGTGTTGGGAGATTCCACACACAGCTGTTTGTTTAACCATATTTGCCAGTAACATAGCTATTTTCAAAATGCTAGCATTTCCAGTTGGAAGCTATTTTCCCTGCTAAGTAGCAGGGCAGCTGAAATATTATGAAAAACAATATTTTTATTTTTTATTTTCTCTTGAAGGAAAAGTGATTTTTCTCTGCTTCTCCGTCACTTAAAGCACATGTTCCTACATAGATAGGTAGATAGGTAGATAGGTAGTTGGTAGATAGGTAGATAGATATACTTTATTGATCCCAAGCTGGGAAATTGCAGTGTAGCAGCAGCATTACACACAGTAACAACACAATGAAGTAAAGACACACAGTAACAACACAATGAAGTAAAGACACACAGTAACAACACAATGAAGTAAAGACAACCTAGACATATCAAAAAACAATATAAATGCAATATTAGTGTGTAAAAATGTATAAATTAAGTGGTATATATTGTAGTGGCAAAGTAAAAATAGTGCAGTGAACAGATTATGTAAAAATATATACATGTTGCCACATTTGTTTTGTGGTATCATAATTTACACTTCAAAATAATGAGTGCATATGTATATCACCTTACTTCAGTAGCTTGTAGTGTAGCTTGCTACTTTAAATAAAAATTTAGTGCTGAACTACTTAAAATTTAAGATGAACTTGTAGCTAACTAGCTACATTTTCATAGTATAGCTTCTCAAAACTGCAAAGGATCATAAAATCAGATTAATTTGTACTGTTAAAACTGAAAGGAAGTGTAATTTCTCAATCTTTATAATGTTACATTTTTGTAATATAAATATTATTGTGCTTCTTATACATTGAAAATCTGTCTAAATTGGAAGCTTTATTCCTGAATTTCTTTTCTGAAGCTCTTTGTGAGGTCCCTACTCTTAAATGGTGCTATATACTTATATACTTTACTTACTTTACACACGTGGTACCTATCACGGCTGATATTGTAGTTTATTCTTTCTCTACTCTTTTGCACTACATTCAGTAGTGTGCTGCGGTGCCAATTTGAATTTCCCCTATGGAGGATCAATAAAGTAACATTATTGATGCCATCTCCAGCATAGTAGTGGAGATGACATTTGTGTTATTTGCATTGCGGTTGAGGTTTTATTTTGGCCTCATGTAAGATACGTACTGATTGTACTTGCCCTAAGGTGTGACCACAGTTTGAGAACTATGCTAAAGAGGCAGTTTGAGGGAAAATTTAGGGGAGAACACATTCCTTTGCTATGAGGCTGGAGATATACTTGCTTTTAACTACATGTTCAGGTATGCAGGATGACTGCCTCATGCAGCCTGTATCCGTTTGGACTGTTGCTTGTGTCCTCAGAAATTAATGTTACGTTCATGTGGTTAAACAGCTAGTTTATTTCCAGCTTAATGTAGATCGTGACTTTCATTGAATCTTAGGGATGAATAATGTGTTACATTTTGTCTGACCTTGTAGGAGGGGTGGCTGTGGCTCAGAGGTAAAGCGGGTCGTCCACTAATCGGAAGGTTGTTGGTTCGATCCCCAGCTCCTCCCGCTGCATGCTGAAGTATCCTTTAGCAAGATACTAAATCCTACCAAAATTGCTACCGATGCTATGCATCAGTGTGTGAATGTGAATGAATGAGTTAGTTTCTGTTTGATCGCCATCGCTGTGTGGCGCGTAGCGTAAAAGTGTTTTGAGTGGTCAGAAGACTACTTGCTGTACAAGTACAGTCCATTTACGATTCTCACGTCCTTTCTCTTTCTTCTCTCTTTCTGCCTCTCTTTCTCTCAGAGATGGATTGATCAGTAAGGATGAGATGATAGCGTATTTCCTTCGGGCTAACCCACTGCTCCAGTGTAAGATGGGTCCGGGTTTCATCCACAGCTTCCAGGAGATGACATACCTGAAGCCCACCTTCTGTGAACATTGTGCTGGATTTGTGTGTATCTCTATGATTCTGTCACATTTCGTGCCTTCTTAATTTTGCTCCTATCAATCAATGAAAATAGCAATTAAACCATTGCAATTACACCAACTGACCTGCTATGAGCCAACCAGTCTAATTTCACAGCCAGAGCTGTGCCTGGCTCTTGAGCAGGGAACACACACTCTGAGGTCACATTCTAACAGATGCAACAGGCAACAAGGTTACAGGAAATCTTGTGATGACTTGTAGATCGTTTATGACTTTAGGACCATGTCTCGACGCTTTTATCTCCTAATATTATATTTTTTGTTTTGTTTTTGTGCCTACCTTGCTGCTTCCTCAAATTTCTGGACCTACAGCTCTGGGGAATCATCAAACAGGGCTACAAGTGCAAAGGTATTGTTCCATTTCATTCCTCTATTTAGTGAAATTTAAATCTACTTTAATTTTATCGTTTAACTGGTAATAGTCAACGACAGTCAACATAAATAAATGCCTTGCTCAGAACATTAGTAACGTTTAAGACTTAACAGGGAATGGCTCTATTGGTGTTGTCCAAGATGATACTGTATTTGAATTAAATTTGATTTGTATAGCGCCAAATCATATCAGGAGTTATCTCAGGACACTTTTCCAAATAGAGCAGGTCTAGACTGTACTCCTTATAGAATTATTTACAGAGACAGTAAATAAGTTCCCACCATGAGCAAGCACTTGGCGACGGCGGCAAGGAAAAACTTCCTTTTAAGAGGCAGAAACCTTGGCCAGACACCGGCTCTAGGTGGGTGGCCGTAGATGTGTGCACAGCAACAACTACACTAATAGTACTGACTGATGATGATGAACATGAAGATGATGACGACAACAGCAACGATGGGGGACAATGAGCAGTGACAATAGTAATAATAGTAACTGTAGTAATAATAATATTAATAATAATAATAATAATAAT